ACCCCAGCAGCCGATTGCTGTGCCGGTGTACACCGCCAATATTGCGGGAGCCCAGGAGGCAACCCTTGTCAATGAATGTTACGTCTTTCGAAGAGTTCAGCTTATGGAGAGGCTACAAGGGAATATAATGTCGCTGGACCTACAAAGCCAAGTTCTTTCTCAGTCCAAGGATTACACTGCCAGCCGTTTGCTTCAGATGGTTCTCAAGCTGCAGGAAGCAAGAATCAGCAGCGCGAATCTCGACTGGAATACACTCCTTGTACGATTTGACGGCACATTTGTCTTGGAAACGTTTCACTCCTCTGGGCCCTTTGGGTCTGCGCTCGGGGCCTTTGCAGTGTTGATTCCCCATAGGATGGAGCCTCAGCTGGCCCTGTCGTATTCTGAATCCAAGCAGTCGGGAAATCCGATAGTGTTTCATCCCAGCTGTGACATGTGGTCCCTCGGAACACTTCTTTACGAGCTATTTACCGGGGAGCTTCCGTATAACTCAGATTCCTGCACCGAGATGGAACAAGCAAAGCAGCTAGCAGAACAGCTGCTAACAACACAGACGCGGTCCGAAGTGTTACGCGCTCGTCTAGACGCTGCAGACGTCTCACAGAGATGGAAAGAGCTCACATTGCGGCTACTGGAGCCCAACAGAGCCCATAGGATTACCTCTATGGGGATTATGCAGGAGTTCCCTGATCTAGCGCGACACATTACCGCTGAAGCGCGTACGTAGTGTGCAGCTGCTTTCTTTCTTCGTAATTCAGTAAACTGGGGCAGATATCGCAGGTTTCTGCCACGTTTTGGGGTACTAGTATTGCTCCATTAGTAGCAGCCTTCCTAATCTTCACGAACCAGCCGGAAGGGGCTATACTTTAAGGCCCCAGTTACAAACGTGTGACATCACCAAGGGTCTGTTCGTTTTTTAATCACTCTTAAGTTGTGTGTACACATACACCTTGGCGACACTTGCACCATGGTAGTGGGTATTTCACGGCAGCACCGTAAAAGAGCGAAAGCAGAGTTGCGNGCAGAGCGTCTGCTTTGCCGAAATATGCACTAGTGACCTAGTGAACTGCCTTGGAACAAACTACTTTGTGACAAGAACATTCTGCACAGGTCTTAAGTCTTACAGCTTAAACCCGTGACAGATCGGAATGGCAGATAACGTTGCTGCGCTGTAAAGGCAACCCATTGTAGTCTAGATCGTCTTAGTTCAGATTCGTAGGTCTTACGGTTCTGGTGGAGGACACATGGTGAGTTGCTGGCCTGATTCAACAATTACGAACTCATGGCAAGTGAATGCAGATGCTGCCGTTAGGACTTGAACGATCACAGAGAAATTCAAGGTGCCTCAAAAAATCGGCGTGCGGAGCGTACACCGGCGTTGCCGCCCTACAAGCTCAGCCGCTCTGCCATCGTACATTCAGAGTTAGACCTTAGCAATTGACTACATAGGCCTTAACTTCTCATCAAGAAGCGACTCTAAAGACCAGCGGGGAGACCGGGAAAGGCTGTAACTGATCGTTTTGTAGGAGTATGTCATACAAGCGATGAGCTGCAACTGCCGGTTTTGGAAACGATGGGAGCTTTAGCTTGTTGTGCCCCCTTACCCTTCGACAATGGAGGGCTGTTAGCTTATGTGCGCAAGCAGCAGAACTCTGCGTACTCCCCTTATGGCACACATGAATTTTTCTGCCTTTTGGGGAGATATGGTTCCTAAGGCACCAGGCATGCAATAC